GAAACAACATGGTTGAGAAAAACAACACTTGCAAACCAAATTCACATTTGCTAAACTTTGCAAAGAGTTATTTATCCTATAAGGTTATGGTACAATCTTAAAATGTTTCTTATATTCCCTATCACTCATAGAATAAACCAGATGTCATCAATGAAAACAATAACAAACTGATCCAGATACTGCTAAAGATTCTATTCATCAAGTCCATAAAAGTAGCAAGTGCATTTGTTAATCCAAAAGACATAACCAAAAATTTATAATAGCCATATATAGTGTAGAAAGTAGTTTTGGGTACATCACTTGCTTTAATCTTCAATTAATGATATTCAAATCATAAATCAATCTTTGAAAATACCTTTGCTCTTTGTAACTGATCAAACAAGTCATCGATTTGAGGAAAAAGATATTTGTTCTTCACAGTCACTTTATTTAACTCCCTATAATCAATGTATAAGCGTAAACTATCATTCTTCTTTTTAACAAACAACACAGGAGCTCCCTAGGTTGACATACTAGGATGAATGAACTTTTATTTTAATAGCTCTTGAAGTTGTACTTTTAATTCATGTAACTCAGATTGTGCCATATGATAAAAAAGCTTAGATATTGGTCTAGTTCCAGGGATAAGATCAAATTGAAATTCAATTTTTTGATTAAGAGGTAAGCCAAGAAAGTTTTCAAGAAAGACATTAGAAAAATCCCTAACAACATAAATATCTTCTAATCATGAGCCTACATTCATTTAAATGTCTTTCACATAAGTGAGATAGGTTTGACATCACTTTTTTTAAAGATTCCATGGCACTTGAGATTAATACAATCTAACACAGAAGGCTCAAATAATCACCTTTTTATACAAGTTTTGGTTGTCCTGGATATTGAAACACTACTATGTTTTCATAGCAATTAATAAATGCATGATGTATAAACAATCAATTCATCCATAAGATCACATCAAATTCTACCATTTTTAACTATACTAAGTTCGTTAGTAATTCACAACCCCTATGTGTACAACATAATTCTTATAAATAGTATCAGCACACATAATTTTTCCTACAAAGTAGTAACATATAATGGCTCATTCAATTTCTCGGGTTTAATACTCAAAGATGCAGCAAACTTGATAGATACAAAGCTATAAGAGGCATCGAAATCAAATAAAACATTGGCATTGACATGATTAATGAGAACAGTATTTATCACCCCATTGTCACTTACATTAGCATCCTGACAAGTCAAAGTGAAAACTCTAGCATTCCCCTTTTGTGGTTGTTTCGCTAATTTAGAATTAACAGCATCAATCTTCTTATTGGGTAGTCTCAAGCAATATGCCCATATTTCCCATATTCAAAGTAAACTCCTGCTTTCCTAAGATATGGTTTAGAATGAAACCACTTACAAAAATCATATTTTTCGAGCTTAGTGTTAGATTTTGTCCCTCATTTCTTACCAATGTTTCTTTTTACATTTTTTTTACGATTACTCTGATCTCCTTCAAACCTCAGACGTTTCTTATCACCCTTCTGTTGCTTATATCTTTTCATGTCTGACTTAATCTTCAATATTCACTATAATACATCTTTGTAACTATCAATTATGTGAGAAGACAAACGAGACCAAATACTTGGCTTTAATTCATGCTCAAATCGCATCGCTTTATTCTTATCTGAGTTAATGATACGAGTGTAAAAATGTTCCAACTTGTTAAACTTATTGGCATATTCCAAAATAGACATATCATGCTTTCGCTATAACGGTAAAAACGCATTCTCCTTATTTACTTTCACTAACTCTGAAAAATATTGATCGAAGAAAATTTCTTTAAACTTTTTCCAAGTCAAAAGCTCACTTGAATCTTTAAATGTAAGATTTATAGTATCCCACCAGTACTCAGCATTTCCCTTTAGTTGAATGATAGCCAAGCTCAACTTCAAATCCTCAAAATTTTGCATCACCTTAAAGAGTTTTTTCAACTCTTTAACCCAAGCTTCTGTTGCTAAAATACCAAGGTCACCTTCAAACTGAAGTGGGTTAAAACTTCAAAATCGCTCATAAGTTATCTCACATTGTTGTAGATTTTCTTGAGTCTGCTGCTATTGTTGTATCAAATTAGATATCACCTGACATATCCTAGCTAAATTATCTTGCGTCATAGGAGAATTAGGAACGTTTCTAATATTAATTTACTTATCTTGAACATTAATGGTTTCAGATTCATCCTTTCTATCAATTCTTTTTCTTTGACTAGTAAGGTTTGCCAATGTCTCATTTTTACCACTTAGTTTTACCTAAATTAGTACCAATAAAAATAGTTTGTAAGTTATCAAAATGAAATAAATGAATCTTATTAGTTTAAACACTAAAAATACTTAAGTTTTACACTAACTATAATTCGGTTCTTTCATTTCTCGAATCTTAAACCTTGGCTCTAATACCATTTTATGTCATACTCTAAAACCAAAATGCAACACGGTTATATTTTCTTGAAGTAAAACCCCAAAGTAACATAAAGCCTTTTTTCTTAATAATTATAAAATTTTTTAATAAACTGATATAGTCTGTTAAGTAAAATTTATATCTTTAATTTAACTAATGATACATCTCTATATATCCAAATACAAACCATATAAAATACAAAAATATTTCATAAGATCCCATTGGCCAACAATCTCCGACAATTAAGTAATCTTTCTCATTTGATCTTTTAGCTTTTCACAAAACTAAGTAAATTTATCACTTACTCATCTTAAAAAAAAAAGAGTAAAGAAGGAATAAGCAAACTATAACTCAGCAAGTATAGGCTCACATACCTCACCGAATCAAGCATAATTTTCATACATATTATATAGATCATTCAAAACATTCATTAAATTATAATGTCAAAACATTTCCAAAATCATCATTATGTTAAATATTTTGTAGATTATAAATCCATATAAAAATATGTCAATTCATTAGTTATAAATCATAAATCATGATCAAATACATATTTCATACAAATTATGGATTAATTTGTAAAAAAAATCCTCTTAAATCATCACTATCATAAATTGTTATTATCATTCGTTCATCATTAACTATGGTCATTTCTATAACTTGTGATATTGGTTGTATCAATAATTTCATCCTCATGATCATTTTTAACTATTATAACCTATTAGTTAAAGCCTTACGCTAACTACTATAACTCGTTAGCAGGGTTGTATGATCATGTTTATGCTAACTACTATAACTTGTTAGCCAAGGCCATAGAACTAATTATGGTATCAATGATCCCACTTCCTAGAGATGTAAAAACGTAGTTATCATAAAATCGTTCTTTAAATATAAATCATTTTTTCATTTCATTCATAAGCATGATCCATCATGTATATAAAAAACGTAAAATAATCAAATGCTTGATCCTATTTTTATACATCAAAAATAATGAAATAAAGCATTCATTCATTTAGAAATATACATATATACATAGACTCAAAAACAAGTAAAGTATGTGAGATTTTATTTATCTTATTTTGATTCCGCCACTTAGTTTTTTTTCCCAAATAATTAATGATCTATTCAAAATAATTTCAAAATAACAGTAATTAATCAACCCATTTGAGACCACTTATACCAAAACAATTAAGTTAAACAAAAATAAACTCAAATAACTAATTCTGATAGCCTACGCTACTTTCACTAAAATGACCATATATCAAGATATCCAACTCAAAATTAAAATCTTTTTAATGCGTTAGAAACTAGACTCGATAAGCTTTCTAACAATATATGGCCCATCTCGTAATTCTTTGTGGATTAATTATAACAATTTTGCAATCCATGTTAGATGCTACTCCTAAACAACCTGTATACCTTCTAATAAAAATTACGTATTTATTCATAAGAGACTCCAAATTCAATTTTGTTTGTTTCATTGGAAAGTAGACTCAATAAGCTTTTCAAACATATATGACTTAATTTGTAAATTCTTATATAAAAATTAAGAGGAATTTCATAATTCCTCCATGTTACTACTAGCAGCTTACACATCTTTAAGTAAATATTAAACTACTTTTCATAGAAAATGCAGAATTGACTTTCGTTTATTTCATTGGAAAGTAAATTCAGCAAGCTTTCCAACTATATATAATAATCATAGCAATATTCAATCCTTTAACACAAAATATAACCTTAATCCATCACTGCAAATACTAGGATTCATACGAAACAAAAATTTTTTTTCTATTCCAATAATTTCTATTTCTTATTTTTACAGCAATAAAATTACATTACCAACTTTCTCAACATTTAATTAGACCTTAATTAAAGTCTAAATTATTTACCCAAACTAATCTTGAAGAGGGATAATGGAAACCCTAAAATTTTAAGATTTTTTTATTATAAATTACACCTCTAAACTTAATAATCAACACTCTAAAATTGAATAAAATTATTTACTCGCCTCTGACAAACAAATCTCTTTATAGATTTTGTTATTATCCTTCACTTGAAATCCTTCAATTTTCTTTTTTGTATAAGAAATAGAGGAGAAATAGGTCTTTTTTTTCTCGATTAGTCATCGACCGAAACTAGTAGAATATGTTAACCCTATTAAAAAACTTAGATTATTTATTAATAGGTCCTATGCATTTTTTATTTTTTATTAAAAGAGTCTCTTTACTTATAAAAATACATAAAATAATCTCTCTTTTTTTTATGGGTATTAAAATTTTTATTTATTTTAAAAACAAAAAATATTGCCAAATATGTTTTAAAAATTTATTTTTTAAACAGTGTGTTTAAAAAATTTTTAAAAATAAAATCGATATCAAACGAACTTGAACTATTATTGGACAATAAAACGGGTCTTTAGAAGCGCACTTTGTCATGTGTTTGGGCTATAGAGCCCAAACCTTGTAGTTCTGGTACTTAATGTCAACCAAAAAATGTATTTGGGATCAAAATAAAAAAATAAAAAAAAATTCTTTAAGCCTTATTGCTATACCGACAAAGAAGAAAGAAAAAGAAAAACCCTAGTCGTTGTAGTTGAAAGAGAGAGAGAGGGGTGAGGTTTATATAAATTTATTTATTTATGTTGGCAGCGAAGCTTTCCTCTTCGCTCTTAGCTTTGAAGCCTCGCCAAGTTTTACTTTCTTTCAACCTAACCATGAAAAGCAAGGCTTCGGCTCAGTCCTTGAATCCCCACCAAAAGTCTCTTCTCCTACTCTCCATTGCCCACTTTCTGGAACGCAATTTCTTCTCCAAAACCCTCAAGAAGTTTCTCTTAGAAGCCCAAATCCAGGTATCTTTTTTTCTTTTTCCATCTTCTATTGTATGTTTATTTGAACGTGATTGCTGATTGGTTGTTGGATATTTGAAAACTGATTGAAAGAAATGCAATTTATGATGCCAAATGTAAAAATTGTACATTAGTTTTTGTTACTGAATTATAATGTCTAACGCAGAAGCACAGAAGCAAAGAGTTAACAGTTATTTCTATTTGTCCTCAATATCTCAATATCTTTAGGTAAATCTAATGTTTCTTGGAGAATTTTTTTTTCTCTGTCAAGTTGGGAGCTTGTTCATGAACAATGCATCTTTGTCTGTATCTTTCTATGTGTATTTCTTGAAGCATATAATGCTTTCTCCCGTCAGATGATAAGCTTGTTTTATGCAATACTATATTTTTTGTTTCTTTTTCTGTCTTCATACTGCTTGTGGGTGTTTTTGTGTCCGTCTGTTAATTGCATTTTGAGTTTTCATTCATTCTTCCGTACAATATTTCTGTTCATTGGCTTGACTTCCTATATTAATTTCCTTTTTTTTTTTTTTTTTTTTTTTGTATTTGTGCAGAAAAATGATTTGATAGGTTCTTCCCTGGATTTGGAAGAAATGTGCTGCAAGTATTTGGCAATGAGGTAGGATTAGAAATTCTTTATTCCTGCTTATTAAGTGGGAGAATCTCTCTCTCTCTCTCAATGTGCATGTTTGAGAGAAAGGATTAAGGTGTAGCTATTGATGCATGTTTTTCACCTTTGCCTTTGCATTTATGTTTTCACTGCATTTTTTATTTAACATGAAACTTATGCACGTAGTGTCATTGAGAACATGCAAATATAAATGTTCAGTGATCTGCATGTGAACAGAAAAGTGCATATTGGACTTCTAATGAGCTTTGGTTTCACATGGTTTATGGTTGGTCTTCTTAAGCTTAGTAATTGTTAAGTTGCATGAGCCTCTTCGGTATACCATTCAATCCTACCAATAACAAAACTTGTAAAATGCCACTTATGGTGGTATGACAGAGCCACAAGTAACTGATGTGATACATGTTTTCTTTAACTTTTTGTCTTTCTTATCCTTATCAGTTCTTATTTTATCATTTATTTTTATCTGTTCTTATTCTCTTTTTTTTTTTTTCAACTTCTGTTATTATGCAGTGATCTTTCTAGCTCAAGTTTAAACAGAGATCAGGTCCAAGGTGTGCTAAACTTAAGAATGTTCTGTTCTATGATGACACTGGTACTACTTTTTGGTGTTGATTCTGATGCTAAAAATGTGAAATTGCAGATATGCAGGTGGATGGCAATCCTAATAGTGATGAGCAAGCTGGCATTGCTTCTGCTGTTGAAACCGCAAGCAAGAAAAAGAAGAAAAGAGGCAATAAGAGTAGAACTGCTACCATAGCTGGTCAATCTGAAGTTGATAAGTCTGCCAACTCTAAGAATAGTGAGGAGCAAGTTTTCCCTGAATCATCAAAGGCACCTGCTGGTGATATGGGTGGGTTGCAATTGGATGAGTATGCTAAGAAAGAGAAGGAGAAAAAGAAGAAGAAAAGCAAGTTGGATTCTGAATCTCATGTTGATAAAGTAGAATGTTATCCTTCAGAATCATTAGGTGGGGAGTCTGAAAAGAGATCTAAAGATGCAGTATCTACAGAGAGTAATAGAGTGTATGATGCTGGGATAAAAAATGAAACTAAGGATAAGAAAAAAAAGAAAAACAAGCTGACTTCTGATTCTTTAGGTGACAGTATCAACCAACATGGTTCAGAGAACAGGCCACATGCTGCTACTACTTTTAATGCTAGTGACATTTCATTGGAAGACAAGACTTCCAAATCTAGAAAAAAGAAAAAGAAGGATGATACTGAAGATATTGAAAAAGGAAAATCAAGTAACACAGAGTCTAAGCATAGTAAAAACAGTATCTCCAAGGAGGATTCAACAATTACAGAGAGTAAAGGTTCCAAGAAAAGGAAAAGATTGGATCCTGAAGTACATGATTCTCAGCCTGTCGAGGAAAATGCCATTGAAGACTCTAAACGTAGAAAGACAGAGAGTTCAGAAGAGAAATACACAAAGTTAAATTCATTAGCGGGAGCTGACAAGCCTGTCAGTAATGAAAATAATGGAGAAAGTGGTGAGGTGGGTGTCAATGATTTTCAAAAGAAGCCTGCAAAACAGCTTCATGAGCAGGAAAATGAGAACATTGACAAAAATGGAAAGAATTCTGAGCAAAAGGGCTTGAAGAAGCATCAAAATGGTTCAGTTGAGGTAAGTTTATGAGTATCATATTAATTTATGGAACATTAGAAGAATGATGTTAATCAAAGCCAAATTCTGACATCAGTTTGGTTGTTTCTTTCTGTGATTTAAAATAATGCATATTTCATTGACTCTCCTTTATCATTTTGAATCCTAATATATTTTTACATGTGTTGCACATGCTAATCTATATGGAATGCAATTGTTTTTTTTTTTAACAAAACATGCATTTAAGTGTATTATTAAATCACTCCTGAAATCTCTTGGATAATTGAGAGAGCTGTGGTAATACCTTTTTTTTTTTTTTAATCAATGATTCCTATCTTGTTGTGTTTGTAACTAAGTACACTTTATAGGCTTATTCCTTGTAGTGAAATTTGGAGGTTCATGAAAGATGGCTAGTGCTACAATCTTAAAGAGATTTTGCTTTTAAAAAATTGTGCCTGTATGTTGGCATTTTGAATCTGACTAGTTGCTTCATGTTTGAATTTTCTACATTATCAATCTGACTTGTTCTGAAGTTGTCTCTTCCATGTTAAATAATTAATATATTTAGCCAAAGCCTCAATTAACTTTTAAGAATGCTATGCTCCACTTACAGGTGTTTCCTGTCCTTTTTGTTTTTGAGCTGCATTAGTTCTTAGTATTCAATTTTTGTGGTAATTTGAAGGTTGGACATGAGATTTTGATGGTGCATGGTTGTCATTTGCATTCTTTCTTAACCTTATAGCATCATTAGGATGTGTGTTGTTTATTTGATGTTATTGTTATTCTCTCTTAGTCCCTTCTGCTTTGGCTGTTGTTGTTGATGATGAGTGGTGCTTAATCTTGAGAGAGAATTGATATTTGGTTCTTTTGAATGGTTCCTATTATGGAAATACCTTTCCTTTAGGGTGTTAAGGATAATAATTACTGTATTATTTAGTCTTTAAGTCATAGCAGTTTTAATGTTGGGTTTTGTTCTATTGCAGCCAAAGAAACCATTTCAAAGAGTGAACATCGATGATGTAGTATTTGTTGATAGCAGGCTTGAAGATAATTCGTACTGGGCAAAGGTGTGATCTATTTGCCCCTCTTTGCTTTCCTTTAATGCTCCATATATTTTGCGATTATATGTGTTTTTTTGGTCACTTGCAAAATCTTCACAGGATGGTGCTGAAAATGGATATGGTGCAAAAGCACAAGGAATTCTAGGGCAAGTAAGAGGAAGGTATGTGTATATATGGTCATGCATAATTGTCTGGAGTCATGTATGTATGGTACCAAAACCGTATAATTAGGATCTGCCTGAACTAGGTCTTGATTTAGACATTCATAAGGAGTGGTAACTCATAACTAGCAATATTTGTGAAGCCAAGACTAAGATTATGTTCTGTGTTCACTTGGTAGCCCGAGCCCTAGGTTACCATACTCCTTCCTGATGCCAAAGTAAACTCTATTATTAGTTACCTGGACTCCAGTGTTAGTACGTTACAAGAATTGGCTTGTCATTATTGGTTTGGGGTTGCTGGAGGTTTTATTAACTTTCAGATCAGGACTTGAACTGTCCCAAGTTTGCATATGATTCTTGGATTGATCTCTGAGGCTTAGGCTTTACCTTTACCGCCTTGTAGCCCTTTCCTTATTTTATTTCCATGCTTTAATATTTTCTAAGGTCTGCAATTGTGAGCAATAGTCCCCATGATACTTGTATAAGTTTTTCTAATTTTCTAATTTATTTTAAATTTTACTTAAAAAAAAAAGAAAGATGTACAAGGATTCTCAAGTAAGGACTGCAAATCTAAATTGATTTTGTGTTGTTAATACACCTTCATAGCCTTTAAAAGCTGACTTGACAACTTTCCTGAATCTTAGCATGAATTTAAATTTTCTCAATTTTTTTTAAGTATTTTCCTCCTTAGTTGGCTACATTTCTTATCCAATGCCTTTATGGCAGAAGTTAAGTTAAATTCCTGACTAGAAATATGTTATTGGCATAGTCAGGCGATACTACTTTGACCTCTTGGATTCATAACCTAAACTCTAGATACCAATTGTTTCAATGGACTTTTGTCTTAGGTCAAGAATATAGTGCAATAGAAATGGAAGTGGCTGAATTTTTATGCTGAAAAAATGTACCGACGTAAAGAATTTGACATCTATAATTAATCTAGTAGGGATTGACATTTGCCGTCTTCTCTTGGACTCTTAATGTGTTAAACTCAAGGCGATAAGTGTTTCTTTTGTTAGTGGTAGTTTGTAGTGAAGTTACTGATTTAATCTACATGAGTTCTTGGGTAAAAGGGCAAAGGAGAGTACATTGATGGACTACTGTTGACAGGCTATAGTAATTTGACATTGCTCACAATCTCATTGATTTCTTGTTAGCTTAAGATACACTCTGTATTCTTGAATTGTAAGCATACGCTGAAGTATGTTTCTAGATGCTGAATTTATACTATAATGTGCTGCTGAAAATATTTACATTTGCAATGTCGAAAGTCACTTTATTGTGGTCCAAACGTAGTCTAAGACTCTAAGTGCTAATATTTTGTTGGAAATGTCTAATGCACTTGTATCTCATTGTAAACTCAGGGATTTCCGGCATGAGAAGACCAAGAAGAAGCGTGGATCGTACAGAGGTGGACAGATTGATCTGCAGTCTCACTCAGTTAAATTCAATTATTCTGATGATGAGTAACTGGGGACTTTGTGATGCATGATGATTGATGAGCTATTTCTTTTTGCCCTTTTCATGCTTTTGAGGAAATATGGAAATATTAAGCGGATCTCAATGATAATTCTTGTATTCCTCTGTCGACTCTTTCGTATTGTTTTGTCGCAGTTAGTTGTTTCATGCTTAAAGATCCCCTGTTAATTGAGTTACGTATTTATGTTTTGCTTGTTCCATTCACAACGTGCTGTTTCTTTTCTAGTGCAAATTTGCATTTGAATGCAGCCTGCCTGGGGTGTGATGATACATGCAGAATCATCGATTCTTCGTCGTCCAGAATCCGAAAAGAAAGTAAGTTGTTTTATATGCTCTATGGATTTAAATACAATCAGTACCACAAAGGTGAGAAAACTAACTCCGCAATTATAGAAACTACTCCTTGGCCTAACAAAGATTATTGAGTTTGCATATTTTTAGGTGTCCGTTTGATAAATAGTTTTTTTGGATAAATTCTAACAAAATATCAAGAATCAAATTAAAGAGTTTTAAAGAACATTTTGAATTTTGAGAAACAATAAGTGTTTTGACTAAATATCCTTGCAATGGGTTTGGGTTAAAATTGGTCAAAGTTGATCAGATCAGGTTAAAGCATAGGAATTAAAGAGAAAATCCATGAAAATTTGAAACTTTGAATGAAAATAATCTAAATGCCCTAGTTATTTTGGGTCAAATTTAGTCAAATTTAGGTTAATTTTTGAACATTATATCGATTGGGATTATTTAAGCTTAGAAATAATAAAAATTTGATTTGAGATTTCAAAAATCAAAGTTTGACTCTAAAAGCACTATAAAAGTTTAAAAACAAGCTTTAAGGTGTATTTTCGTAAATTTGATCAAAACAATGTTAGATTTTGGGTGTAGGCATAAATTTAAGTTTAGTGATCCCATTATCATTTCTTGGCATAATAAAATTATAGGGTTGACATAAAAGCGAAAAAATTTGAAAAGTAAAACAAAAAAGCTTAAATTACTTAATAAGGGTAAAATTATCTTTTTCACATAATAAATTTGAAAAACTTGCAACATAAGAACAAAAGAAATGCAGAGAAAACACCAAATAAATAATCATTTTGGATAAGATCTCATCCAATCGTCCCAATTAAAAGCAAAAAGGTAAAAATGATAAGTTGATATCAACGTTAGGATAAGATCTAATCTAAAACTAGGAAGAAAGAAGACTTTCTTTTAAGTAAATATTCATGAAATGCTAAAAAAAAAAAAAAAACTTTATTTTCAATTTTTTTTAACATAAAAAAGTTCACTTTTCTCCCACCAAAAAAATATATATATTTCACTATCTTCATCTCCCAAAAAGAAAATTAGATGACAAACACCTTGCCTACACTAGCAACAATAATTAGAATGAATGCTAGTGCAGAAGTTTAGCTTATTAGAATACAGATATGGGAATATCCAATGCATTGTACAAATGTTGAAGATGACGTGGATAGCTAGCTAAGGTATTATGATATCATTTAGTATATCAAATATTAGAGATACTTAGAGTATGCATCAGAGAATGATAAAAGAATCTTGAGAATATTGTCGATGAGGTTCATTTTTATAAGGCAACTTTTTATAAAAGGAGTTGGAATAAGATATTATTAAAATGTGTAAATGCTATAGAAGCAAACATGATGCTTGAAGAATTGTATGAGAGAATATATGGGAGGCATGCAAATGGACACATTTTAGCCAGACAAGTGATAAGGGTAGGATATTATTGATTGCCATTGGAAAGCGATTCTATCAACTATGCAAGAAATTGCAATAAGTGTTAGATTTATGTAAATAAGATCATGCCTCTCCAATTCCCATATATGTTCTAGCACTTCTATAGTTGTTTTCTATGTAAGGAATGGATGTGATTGGACCTATTACCTTAAAGGCTTGATGTACACCGATTGATTCTTGTGGTTATCGATTACTTCACATGATGGGTAGAAGTGCCCTCTTATGTTAGTGTTACACGATAATTGTATACAGATTCATAAAAAAAAAAAGAGATAATATGTCGATATGGATTTTTGAAAAAGATCATCATTGATAATGCTAGCAACTTGAACAATAAAACGATTAGAGAAATGCGTATATAGTTCAAAATAAAACAGAACAATTCAACGCCGTATCATCTGAAGATAGATGGTGCAGTAAAGATTGCTAACAAAAACATAAAAAAACATATAGGAAAAAGTGACTGACCCCTAGAAGGATTGGCATGAGAAGTTATCTTTTACTTTGCTTGCTTACAGAATGTCAATTTGCACTTTCACTAGATCTACTCATTTTTTATTGGTATATGGAATGGAAGTTGTGTTGCTAATTGAGATGGAAATCCTTTCTCTAAGAATTTTGATAAAAGTGAAACTAGATAAAGCAAAATATGTTCACAATCGCTATAAGCAATTGAATCTTATTATAAAGAAAGGCTCATAACACTCTATCATGGTCAAATGTATCAGAAGAAAATGATATGGGCACATGATAAAAGGATATGACTTAGGCACTTTTATGAGGGTGAATTAGTTTTGAAAAAGATACTATTAAGCTAACATGATAATAGGGAAAAATAGTTACCAAATTAGAAATGACCATATGTAGTAAAAAAAGCTTTCTTAGGTGAAGCCTTGATTATAGCTGAAATGGATGGAAATGAGTTGCTAAATCCTATGATTTCAGACACTATCAAGAAGTATTTCGCTTATAAATTAAAAAAAAAAACAAAAAGAAAAAAAAAGGATTCAAACTGAAAACTTGAAAAGGATAACTTGAGTCAAAAGGGAGAAAAACATCTAGATTGAAAACCTAAAAATGCAACTTAGGTGCATAGAGGGAGCTAGAGGTGTGTTTAAGTTAAAAACCTAAAAATGCGGCTAAGATATGAAAAAGATAGCATCAAAATTGCCTAAAGGCAGTATGAGTTTAAAGATAAGCCATCGTCAATCTCAGATTTTGGGGCAAGGTTTAGTTTGATGAACTTAGAAGGATCATGTATGCTAATGGGATGGATTTTTTAGAAAGGATTTGGAGTAAATAGATTCGAATAATCTTAATGTTCATTATTTGAAGATTTGAAGATTAATTTGTGCTATTGTCTTAATTGGTTTCTTTGTATTTTAAGAATATTATATTTTTCTTTAGGACCTTAAAAAATTTATTCTTTACCAAACATTAATGAATACCCTTTTTTCTTCTTTGGTTAAACTTCACTTGATCCATTTTGTTAGGAAATCATTGCATTTGTCATGGAATTGAGATAATGATTGATAATATAATAGACATTTATAACACTTTGGAAAGGTAAAAAATAACGATAACAAAAGGGAAAAAGATATTAAAAAAAGAAAAAAAAAGGAAAAATAGTTGGGAAATAAAAAAAAATGAAAATGAAATGAAAACCTAGAAACAAAAATGAAAATAATATGGAATGTATGTTGAAGGAGAAAGGAACCTAAAAGGAAACGCATTGATAGTAAAGGTATTTGGAAAATGAAGAGTATTTCTAGATAAAGCAAATATTTCTTCAAAAAACTGAATTCGTAATTATGTGAAACATGGAAAAAAGAGGATAAATGGAGAAAGAAAATGAGAGAAAAAAGAAAAGGAGAATAAATCTAGAAAAATAACTTCAATAGGACAGAAATGTCGTGTGGGCGCTAAGAATTTGTGAAATGAATTTTATGAGACTAAGGTTTGAAAAAAAATTTTGGTCATAAAAGCCTTGTTGCCATAACTATAAGTGCTTGGTATGAATTAAATGATTATATTACATGCAATGTGTTCCTTGCATTCATTGGATTTATGCTTGCACGTTAAGCTTCGTTTTGGAAAATCAAATATGTTAAAAAAGAGATGGCAATTTTTCAAAGGAAAACAAAAGGTGAGAAAACAATTTTTAGGTTAAGAAAATCTTTTGTGAAGCATTTCAAATATAACTTGCAAACTTTTTTATGGATGAGATTTTAAAATTTCAAAATCTCCATATATGAGGATCTTTTCACAAATGAGATCGTTTAAAATTTCAAAACCTCTACATAGGAGGAGCTTTTCATGGATGTAAACTTTTAAAGTTTCGAAACCTCTATTTTGAAATATCTTTTCAGAATGAGATTTTAAAGTTGTATAGCCTTTATTTAAAGGAGTCTTTTATAATATGAGTTTTTTTTTTAAAATTGTATAGTCTTTGTTTAAAATAGTTTTTTCCTAATATGAGAATTTTAAAGTTGTGGAGCTTTTAGTTTCAATTTATTTTCAAAAAGTTTTGAAGCCTTTAGTTTAAGGGTTTTTTAAATTTATTTTCAAAAGTTGCGGAATCTCTAATGAGAAAATTTTTTAAAATTTGGTTTTCAAAAATTGTAGTCCTTTTAATAAGAAGAGTTTTTAAAAAATTAAAAAATCCAAAAATCTAAAAGATAAAAAATCCAAAAATCCAAAATCCAAAATCCAAAAATCCAAAAATCCAAAAAAATAAAAATAATAAATACCAAATTTTCAAATTTTCAAAAAAAAGTAATTAGAAAAAATTCAAAAAACCTTTAAGTTTTTAATCCCAAACAACATTATTGTTTTTGTTTTTGCATTATTTTTAATTTTTGATTAATATGCAAAGAAAAATAATTGTAAATACTTAATTTTGTTTAGGTATGTGCCAATCAAATTTTATGTTCAAAAGTTAAATCCAAGCCCAAAAAGTCAAACTTAGTTAAAATAAAAGATTTTAAGGGAATTTGATTAGGAAACCTTTGAATTTTAAAACTCAAAATTTGGTCAAGATACCCTTTTGTTAAAACCCAAGACAAAGAAGGTTAAATCCAAGTGATTTTGGAAGAGTGGAGTCAAACCATTAGATTTTTAAAAAGCTTTGAAAAATATTTTGAATTTTAGGCAAAAATAGTTATTTTGATCGAAATACCCCTAAGATGGACTAGATCAAAATTGGTCAAATTAGATTAAAACATAATGATTAAAGAGAAAATTCAAAAAACAATTGAACTTAGAATAAAAATGACCAAAATGCCCTTGATCAATTTAGGCCAAACTTGGTCAAACTTGGGTTTACTATAGGAAATTTTATTGATTGGGAGTATTAAGGCTTAGAAATAATAAAAATTTGATTTGGGATCTTAAAAAT